ATTTGGCGCCTGGTAGCGCTTTCAACGTGTCGATGATGACCAGGTAGGTGGCCTGTTCGGGTTTGACACCTTGATTCCAAAGAAGCGCCGGAACCTGTCCGCAGGCAATTCTGAAGGCGGCACCCGTCATGAAAGAGGTGATGGCAACCAATGGAATGAACTCAACGATCCAGCCAAGACGGGTGAGGCCGATGAACAGAAGCACGGCGCCCGAGATCAGGACCAGGGACCTGGCAATGTTCTCGGGAGCGTACTGCGGGTGATCATCGCGACGCGCAGCACATATTCCGACGAGCTGAGACATGACGCAACAGTCCGATCGTGATATCCTTGGAGGTGGCGAAAGCCCAGTACAGCAGGAAACCGACGAACGAAGTGTAGAGACCGTACTCAGCGCTGAGCTGCGCCAGAAGGGCGTAAGCCATGCCCTGAGGGATGACGACGAAGCCGACAGTCACACCGGCAACAACATCACCAAGAAGCCATTGCCTTTGCAGTGTATTAGCGTCGCCTGATCAACTTGCACCCCATTGCTGGAGCTCATGAACACAAGACCAGGATTTACGTACAGGTTGTAGTGGAAAATCCACTGCCAGAAGGGAAACAGGCTCTTGATGTACCTGACGCCTCCCGCAGCAGTCGGGCGGTGGTAGTACAGGTACTCGGCGACGGTGGGCTCGCGCTCCTCGTACGTCTCGATCGACTCGAAAGACTCGGCGGCCGAGTGGACAGCCTCCTTGGGCTCGTTATTTTTGCGATAGTCGAGATCGATGAATAGGGCCTTGGCAAGGCCACGGCTCAGCTTGCTTGGCGCCATCGTGGCTTAGACTGTGCTACTGCAGTACTGCGTCTCCTCGTCTTGGCAGAGGCGGCGACAGGGCAATTAAGGCAAGCCCAAAGGCAAATTCGACGTGTCGATGGTGTGCGAACCTTGAGCGATGGTGTGATTGCTGAGGAACGTGGGCATTGCAGCCAAGATAGCGGGAGGCGGTAGCTCCTTTTATGTGAGGAGGCCAAGTCTCGAGGCACCGGAGTTGTCACGGCCAGCAATGGGCATGGCTTGCTTTGGTCGGATCGCCAAGGGTCATGGCAGTGGGTGACGAGTGGATCATCTTTCGATGGGGGGTGGCAAGGGGGCGTGTGGTCGACGAGATCGGGGGAGCCATGGGATGGTGTGGATGGCATGTATGTACTAGGTACGGGGGGGGGCAGGAGTTGACACGCCTGCTGACGCTTGGGATAATGCAGAAAGACACCCTCGGTCCGACCTAGCAGAAGCAACGGGAGAAGGCGAAGGGAAGGTGACGGGGCGCGCGTCCCAGCGGCTGGCCCAGGCTGGACTGGCTCGCCATGGGTTGACGTCTTAAAGCCGCACCATGGCGCTCACGCGGCGGCGGCGTCAAAGAAAGTCGACAGGACACGACGACAACATGGACCCTGCGGAATTGCCAGGAGGGGGGAGCGCAGCCTCAGCAAGCGGCAACGGCGCGCGAAGTGTGGGAAATTGGTGCCATGCTGGCTTCTGTAATCAAGGGATGCATGCGGCTTCAGGGTCTCAAAGCCACCGCACACAAAGCGTGGGGGGAACGGTAATAGGGGGTGTCGCTTATGTGCCAGCAATGACCACCAGCTGTGATGAATTGAATTGAACGCCATAATGTCATTCGCGTCTCTAAGGTCCAAGTTCAGCTGCCAGAGACCCTACGGATTCGGTACGAACAGCTGCCATGTGCAGAGTAGCTCAGGGGAAGTGATGGGTTTTCCAGGGCAAGTATGGCTCCAGTGCTTAGGGTACGTTAATGATCAAGAGCTACGAATGTATGCCCTTCTTTGGGTGAGAGAAGGGTATGGAGAGGAACCAGCACCTTCCGGCCGCTTTCTGCATCCCGTGCGAGCCAGCACATGCAAAACGGTAGTTCGGGGGATGGTCTTGTGTTCCAGTTGTCCAGGTCTTGGATAACGTGCCGTGCTATCCGGCGATTTGGAGAGTCAGAACGGGCCTGCCACGAGGCAATGAGGGAAAGGCCCAACGCACGAGAACCAGCACCAGAGTCAGCGCAAATAAACTTAGCAATTAAGCTTAACTCGGTTGGTGGCGGCGGTACTGGTCGACTCGATTGGAGGGGGGTAGGGGTCGAGGACGTGCTGGAGCAGCCGTCTTCGGGGACCTCCATCAGTTTAGTCTTAGTGGAAGAAGTGGCCGGCAAAGCACGACAAGCACACCGCTGTCCATAGGTCTCACCGGTCGACAGCCTGGTTGTCGGAGGTCGAGGTTTTGAAGCTATCACGATGCATAAGGAAGGGCGCCAATGCCTCTAATGCCAAGATGCCGCTCCCTTCGCTTGTCGCAACAATTAACCCCCTTATTTCTCAACCTCGCAATGATTGTCGACAAACGAGCAGGCACATTATACACTACTTGCCCCTCAGAGAGAGAGAGAGAGAGAGAGAGAGAGAGGGTGCAGAGCGCCCGAGGGGGGATTGAGGCCAGTCGAACTCATCGAAGACCAGCGCCGACTCGAGAAGCGAAAAAGATGGACCTTCCCGAGCACGTCATTCTTGGCGTGGATGAGACCACATCCACCGAGCCAGGAGCCGCATAGCTCCCCTGTTCATCTGCAGGTTTTGTCGCCTAATGGAAGCTTACCCCAATCCCCAAGCCAGCATCCCTGTCTGCCGTCTAGCCCACACCCCCTCTGATCACACAGCTCATGCTCCTCACACGCCCCCAAGACACCTCAGAGCAGCATGGGTGGACCGCCCCAAACAGGGCGGCTGTCCTGCCCGCTTTGGGAGAAGCCCCTCAGCTCTCACAAGTAGACCAAGAGCTTCTTGAGCTTCTACTGGTCGACGACAACTATTACCAGCCGATTTTCCCCACGCCACCCAACGAAACAGACACAACAGAGACCGAGAGAACAGAGTCATAGTGTGGGAGAGGCAGGCCTTCAGAGTTGGGCGGTTCACTGTGGCGTGCAGCTGGTGCAACAGATCGTGATGGACACCACATCCCATCTATCTGTACGGTTCCAGCTCTTGTGATGAGCATCGCCCAAGCGTCATGACTGCAGGAGAGCATCATGATGAATCTCTTTTTGCAGAGATTGCCGTTCTGACACCATGGCACACCCACCATCAACCCTGGGCGCCGAGATGACCGTCTCCATCATGATGTCGCGCCCCTCCACACACTTGCCAGAGACGAGCGATCAGCGCGAACCCCGGCAAACAAAGTTGTTCTCGGTTTTATACAGCATGCACGGCCCCTGGTTGCCAAAGTGCTAACCCCACCTTCCTATGGGTCGCCTCTGTCTGCCCAGTGAACTTCCGTGAGCCCCGAGCCAGAAACCTAGTCTCCTATCTAGACGGGGGTTTGGAGGTTGGGGGAGGCAGCAGCACCATACCATGAGAGGGAGTGCGGAATCGGCGCCCCGATGGCTAGTACGCAAATATGCGCGGCCAAGGCACTCCAGTCCATCTTACCAGTCTGACAGCTCGAGCTACTTCCGGGTCTCGAACCTCTCCCCCTCTCAGCTCAATCCCTTGCGCTGCTGTGCTGGGGTCGAGAACACGATCGTATCGATGAGAAAGTAGACGAACATCAAGAACTTCGTGTTTTTTCATCAGCCGCTGCGACGCCTTCGTATGGTGTCAACAGCCACGTCACTTTCGCCATGGCCACCCCCCTGAACTCTTCATGATATCGAGCGCACCCTCGCCATGGCCGGCGCCGTGAGACGGGGACGAATTTGATATCGCTCGATCGCCTCCCGCCGGGAGGGGTCCAGACACACCATGGTCGGCTGGTTCCAGAGCCTCCAGGCCAACTCCCTGTCTGTCCTGACGACTCCCTGGACGAATGGGAGTTGCCGAAGCTGAGCTGTGCCGGCATAGGAACCTGTCGCGTGACTCATGATTATCAGTTGGTGCTGCTTGTCTCTCTCCCATTGGCCGCCCACGTCGTCTTCAGAGCTGGCATCGAGGGTCCTAGAGGTTGGTAGACGTGACTTTGGTTTCCAGATTGCACATGCAAGGCTTGGTAGGACCGTGGGTTTGGAATCTCGGCAAGGAGGAATGTATTGACATGGCATGGGCGCTTGCTTTCTTCTCTGGGAAGCCAATTGTGAATATCCCACACCCCCTTGCAATATTGCGGCTGGAAACTTCAGGCGGACGGGGTGGAACACCACGCCGGTCGGGCCAAGACATTGTGGCGGCGTCACGCTGTTTGCCAAGCAATACTGTCTTGTTTCTGCCCTCTCGATAGGACTTTCCAAGCCGGGAGTCTCAGTTTTTCGGACAGTTTAGAAGCCTTGGCTGTCCTGTTTCTCTGCTTCTTCCCCAGACGCCAGGGGAATGAAAGCCGGGAAGAGACGGCAGAAGCAAGTCTGTCACCATCACAAAATCTCGGCCGGGAGCCTCACGATTCGCATCTTGCAGTCGCGGCCCGCTGAACAAGCCATCGAACGGCAGTCTGAAAAGAGAGAGAAAAGCAAGATAAAGATTGAGACGACATCGCACCCGCATCGGAGATCACCCGTGGTTCGCTGGCGCCGTCGCCGCGGGGGCCTCGACCGCCCAACCGAGCCTCGTGGGTGCCGTTCTGGGACGCAACCTCGCATCAATTCTTTCTTGGGCTGAGACCTGAAGATGCCGAACAGCCGGTCGCGATCCCAAGAGACGCGGGTTGTGCATGGAAGGCTGCGAAGCACCCACGTAAGAGGAATGAGTCGGGCGTGGGTGTGGGCTGAGATTGCCTATGGCGTGCTCGTCCAGCCCACGAACGCGACTGGGGTGTTGATCAAAGGGTGCCAACTAGACCCGACACTTGCATTTCCGGTCCCGGCTTTGGCCTTGACGAGAGAAAGGGAAGAGGGAGTGCGAAGAAAAATCTGGATGAGCTTGATATCCTCGGATGTAGACTTCATGATCGCTAACTCCGTAGTCAGTGATCGTAGGTTGGATCAGCGAAATATCACGCCGTCAAGCTGGAATGCGGCCATTGGGGCGATTCTCGTGAGTAGACTCTTAAGGCGTCATGCCCTTGGTGGGCATGCCAAGATGAATTATGACACGGCCTTGGAAGGATCAAACTTTTACTGCTTGCCTTCAAAGTTTGTTTGCACCAAGACGCACGGCATCTCCGCGGTTCTGACAGATAACGCCATGCGACTCTGACAGAGAAATGCCTGTCGAAACTCCTTCCGCGTGCTAATGACCCGAAGCCTGAAATGAGGTGCAGGAATTTCATTGATTACATGGTACAGTAACTCTGAACGCGGTAGTTGGTCCGAATGACGTTCTCCAAAGACTTCATTGCGTTTTTGAGAACGACATTCCTCGACAAGATTTACCACGAATGCCTTCATGTGGGACAGAATCAAGACGAGAAAAACCCGATTACACCGTGATATCACTCGCCGCAGTCACAGGCTGATCACATCGGATCGCAAAAATTCTTCATCCCAAGGTTTTGTTTCAGAACACACATACTCATATGTTGGGCCGGAGAAAAAAAAGCCCGTGACGGCTGGCAAGACTTCCCCCAAGAACTTCAGTACTAACAGCACCTTGACCGATATCATAGCACCCATTTCACCCTAGGTCCGACAATATGGCTCCAAAGCACGGCACCGTGTCTGCTTCTCTTGCTCCCGTCAACGATGAGCGTCACGTCTCCAACACCGGAAACGCTCGACACACGAATTAATACAGAATAACATTGACACGATCCTCAATAGTATCTATTCGGTGGAGGCAGAGTCGTGCTGCAGCATCGCATTTATACCGTGTCTTTGGCTACATATAGACCCCCACTGCGCAACAAGAGGTTGAGCCTTTCGGTATACCTTCACGTTGAACTCTTGCGGGCGTACTGATGCCCCTATCCGATTAAGCATCACAGAATTCCTCTCCTTTCGAGGACAGCGGATGCGGAACTGACGGCGTGCACTGCAGCATCCTCCGAGTAGGCCCTTGACCAGTTCTTCGTGCAGACAACCGACGTTAGTCCGGCAAATATCGACGACAAGCGAGAAAAAAACCAATACCACGCCATTTTATAGATTTCTCCTCCGGCCTGTCGACCCTTTCCCATTGTTTCCTGTTGTATGCGCAAGATGCACTCCCCAGTTGACCACCGACCTTGACATGAGGTAGCCAAATGACTGATTGACCATGCGAAGACTGTTGCGCTGCATCAGTCCAGATCAGCCATTCATCGGCAGATGGAGTGTTCTCAAACGCAGGACTTTTGCTTGATGCGCGATGTGTGTGATCGCTTCCCTGCGCCGATCTAGAGTATACCAAGCCAAGATAGTATTCTTTGACTGTGGGAGTATACATTGAACCTCATGTTACCTCTCCTCTAGCATTCGACTGTGTATATTCTTGATGTATGCTCATCGTGGTGGAAATGGAGGATGTCGCAAGCCAAACTTCTGGTCCGTTCATACTGCTATGCTTGCGATCCGCTGACATCATGTACCAACGCCCAAGGCGCATCTATGAATCAAACTGGCCAATCGCCTAGGCTGATGGGGCCATAGATAAATAATTAGGTGCCGCAGATGCCATGAAACAGCACATTTCTCAGCTTGTAGTCTTTGCTCTACTACAAGTGCAATTCGGTAGTGAGGTTTAGGACCGCATTGGACGTTCTCCCGAGGACCATAAGGACAGGCAATACAAGACGCGTGCGTGAGGTTGTCACTCCCAAGCCGCGTAACGTCGATCGAAATCTTGCAGTAAAGCGCTTTTTGGTCTCTCTACAGCGACTTGACCCTTTCATGAGACTCAGTGCTCGATCGAGCTGAAGAGCAGAGTCGACGGGCAGTAACGCAAGTGAGGGCAACTCGAGCTGAACAAAAGATAGCAGTCACAACATCAAACAAGGTGAATGAGCCCAATCCTGGTGTTTGACATTCACTCAAGTTCCTCGACGTTCACATCTTCCATTGAAGGAAAGAGCGATGGCAAGGAAAGCCACAAGAAGCACCACTTTCCATGCGGCCGAATTTTCTACATCTTAAGAATTCTCTGGCATTACACCCGTAACACCCCCCCAACGACACACCCACTGACAGCGCGGCAACACCTATTTTCGAGATGAAGCTCACTTCCATCACTCTTGTTGCAGGCCTCATTCTTGGTCTTCAGTTGTCTGGCGCGTCTGGCGACGACATTAAGTACGAATGCAAGGACCTGCTTCTGACCTCGAATGGCCGGGACCAATGGCACCCCGAATGGCAAAGCTTCCAGCTGTTCAAAAAGTCCGAGACTGTCCTTCACGCCAAATGTCTCAGAAACGATGGCAAGACGTACCGCTGCACGCGCATCAATCTCAATGACTGCATCGGCCTTGAAGTCGACCGAGAAGCCAACAAGGTCAGCCTCGTAGCAGAGGAAGGGTAAGAGCATCTGTTCGTGTGAGCACTTGATCACTAATGGTTAGCTAATCAATGTTTGATGTGCAGCGGTTACTTCAACCTACGTTGTGGCGCCTGCATTCTCAAAAAGACGCAAAAGAGTGACTACATCGAGAACAAGCTGATTTGCCCGTATATCTTTGCTCAGGCTTGGGACGTCGATGTCAATCTCGGTATGTTGGTGATGCTCACTTCGCCTAGTTCGCATGCTGACTATGATTGCCTATCTTACAGAGGACATCTTGTTCAACGACGATGGCCGCATTGCTTGCAATCACTGGAGAGGCTGGGACGCTCAGTGCTAGGCACAAATTTTGAGGCTACGTTTGGTGAATGAAGGTGAGCCAGAGACGCATCGCACGGCTATGAGAGGATGCGTCGAAACCCCCCTGGCTTAGCGGTGCATTCTGGCGGCCATATCCCTTCACAGTCCCTAAATGGTATTTTAGGTTAGAGGTAGACATTGGTTTTTGGTTCTTGAAAGAAAGACCCTAGAATAAAAAACATCTCTCGTGAGCTTCTGTTACTTGCTCTCTGTGGTTTCCCAGGCAGCAACTCTGGCGGCTTCTACAAATCGCGAGCTGCATGGCCCAGTTCCAGGAAGCTGACTAACGAGCGTGACATGTGGGCCCAGCCAGGAACCCACCAGCTCTTAAAAGGAAAATTTGCCTCCCCCCTCAATTCCTTCCAACCACGTTCTGCAAGTCAACGCGACACCAGTCCTAAGCTCCTCGATCGAGCTCCGTGGTCACACCATGTAGTCGCCACCAGGGAATGCTGCGGCCACCAAGCTCCAGCTTCCGTCTCTCACATACACCACCAATGCCTCGATGGGCAAGGTCAACATCTTCCTCATCCGCCACGGCGAATCAGTAGACAATGTGGCCGGCCTCTAGTGCGTCATCAATTCCTTTTCACACCCTCTCCGTTACCCTAAACTGACCAATTCCAGTGCAGGAAGTCGCGACTCCCCATTGACCGCTCACGGCGTTCTCCAAGCCCGTCGTCTTGCCTCTCACATGGCGACGGGGGCACCTCCAGCGACGCACATCTTCACCTCCAACCTGAAGCGTGCCGTCCACACCGCTGCAACGGTCCGAGAAGCGCAGCCTCCGCCGCTGGCCGGAATGCCGGCGGTCGATGTCGTCCAGCTATTGGACCTGCGCGAGAAAGACTTTGGCGCCGACGAAGGCAAGAAGTACGGCCAGCGCGACCATGTTCGTGCGACAGATGCTGAGACCCACGATGCCATGCATACACGTGCAAGTCGCTTCGTCGACAGCCAGCTCGCACCGATCGTTGCCGCGTTGGCTGACAAGCCTGCATGCGTCATGATCGTCGCCCACGGGCTGATCCTGGCATCGCTGCTTCGCGTTCTGCGCAGCAATGCCTGGTTTGCTTCTTCTTCCGAACCAGGCGACTCTCATGCCTCTTGGAGCAATACGGGCTACACCCAGCTCGTCGTGGAGCCCTCCCACCCACCATCGAGCCAGCCTCGACAGGACGCAGGCGAACCACCCTGTCGGCCCAGCAATCATGGTCCACGCTGGCCCGACCTGCGCCTGAGCATCGTGGTCTTCAACAATACGACTCATCTCGCCGGTCTGAAAAAGACCCGCGGCGGTATAGGCAGCGCAGAGTTCGATCAGAGGCAGAAAACCCTCACTTCTTTCTTTGCTGCGGCCCCTCCGCCGAAGAAGCGGAAGGCCGAAGATCAGCTTGAAAAATAGCCGGATCGGAGGCCAACCGTCTTGGCACCCTCGCAGAGCATGATGTCGACTTTGTCAAATGGTAAGCTCTCGCCTCTTTTTCTTTACACTCACCCGCCTGCTTTCGTGATGAGAGACCAAATTTCACAGACCTGATCCGACACATTGAATGTGGAAAAAACTTGTCCAACCGCTATCTGACAAAGCTTTTTAACCTGGTACTTCATGATGCTTGTTTTCGAACGAGTGCTAACATATTTGAAGTCTAGACCCTATGTACACGTTCCGGGCGATACGTGCCACGTCGCTTCGGGTTCGAATGGATAGAGTTTCGGTAGACATAATGCAAAGTTTTCTCATGATGCATGATGCCATCGCCTGAACTTTTGTTGCTTGTTGTGAAATGATGTTTGAAACTGTGATTGCATTTCTGTACAGATGGCTACTTGTGCCCATAGGCGACCCGCCCGCTCATAACCCAGTATTGCGTTGCCTCGTAACTCATTTGTGCATACCAGTCCATGTTTTCTGACGATTATCACAAGAATACGTTGTGACGAGCTCCGTCCAACAGCCGCAGAAACTCCATCCCGCCTGGATTAAATTCACACCTCGAACGCCGAGCCAAGTCTACCATCGCGCCTAAGCATGCATGCCCTTCCCTAGACGTCCATACTCGTCTCATCCTTGCCAGTAAACACCTTGTAGATCCGCCGGCTGAGAGCTTGGCCGATCGTCCGATCCGACACGGCACCATCCTTGTTTGCGCTCTTCCGGCACGCCTCCAGCGCAAGCGGGCCCCTCTCCTCCAACCCCTTGACGAGCGCCGCGACGGTCCCAAACTCCTCAGCGACGCCGTAGGCAGACGGGCGCCGTGACGCGCACGATCTCCTGCAGCATCCGCGCGTACGTGTCCCGCGTGTCGTCGCCCGTCCGCACCTGTCCGCTCTCCATGCAGAAGCCGGCGCCCGCCGCGTTGGCAGCCTCACGCTGCTTGCGATACGGCACGGTGGAGATGTGCTGCGTGAAGATGGCGATCCACTGGGCCGTCTCGACGGCGGCGGCCGTGTGGTGGATGAGGGCGCCGTGCAGGACCTGCAGCTCGAGCAGCCGTCCTCGACGTGTCATCGTCAATGTACTCCCTGGGGCTGCGCCTTCTTGCGCCGCCGTCGCTGCTGCTGGTCGGCGCCGCCTTCGTCTCTGCTGCCCACGGCGAGACGATCCGTCGTTTCGGACGTTGCGGTTCTTGCGGATCCAGGGGCCGAGACCTTCCATGAGGTAGATCAGCTGCGTGCTGGGAAAGTGCTGCTTCATTCTCGACACATGGGCTAGCAGATCCGCGCCTTCGGCCCCGAGAGCTAGCGCAACGAACTCGTCGGCGGTCATGACGGCCATACCGTACGACTCGTCCTGGATGCGCAGCGGCATCGGCTCCCAGAGACCGAGGTCGTCGTTGAATCGGCTCTTGACCTTGCGCCGCCACTTGACGACCTTTTCGACCGGGCTCTGCCACTCGCCGAACTCGACGTCCAGGTCCCTGAGCAGCGTCTGCGCCTGCAGCAGCTGCGCTGGCGGCAGGCTCGCAGGCAGATCGACAATCATCTCGGGCGTTGAGACCTTCTTGTCGGTCCTCACCTTGTTGACTTCGGCCATGGCGGCCGCCGTCTCCTTGTCGCGCGCCTTTTGCTCCTTCGCCGCTTCTTTTTCCCGCTTCTTGCGCTCTTTCTCGCGCTCGCGCTCGGCAGCCTTGGCCTCCTTGTCTCGCGCCTTGTTTTCGGTGGGTTTCTTGGCGACCGACGCTTTTCGTTTCGAAACTCTCAGCGTGGCGGATGATGTGCGCGATCGTGCCGCTGTGTGAGAACGAGGCGCTCGAGACTTGGAGAGGTCCATGTCCTTGACGTCCGGGAGATCGCTGTCGCTGTCTGACCATTTGTGGCTTTCCAGTACGGACAGCTCGGAATCGCTGAGGTCAATGACCGCAGGCGCCTTCTCCTTGCCTTTCGAACGCACAGCCGGTGGCGAACTGTCGAACGAGTCGTGCAGCAGCTGCGGCGCCGAGCTTGAGATGGGGTCCCAGTCTGCCTTGCCTTTCGGGGAACGGGGCTTGCTGTTCAGTGACACAGCCGTAGACGTCGCTGCCCGGAGCGGGGCCGCATCAGGCTGTGAACTGGCAAACGGGTCGCTGAGGTCGTCGTCGAGACTGAAGACCGCCATGGAGGTCTTGGACGTCACCATCGATGCGCATGTCGATTTCGCCGTGGACGCCACCTGCAACGAACCAGCCGGAGCAGCCGCAGGCGCCGCCTTCGCAGCAGGAGGCGGGCTGCTGGCGAACGGATCATCGACATCCATCCCCAAACTCGCAGCCACAGCAGCCATTTCAGGTTGCCGAGGTGAAGCCGCACGAGGCTCGGCCATGGCCACGATCTCACTCACCGTCCTCACAGGCGACGAGGTCGCAAAGGGATCGTCGTATGTCGTCTGGCCAGAGCTCCTCGGTCTCCTGCCGAGCGCCGGCGAGCTCGAGCACTCAATGGGATCGAACAGCGCCTGTGTGCGCCGCACAGCGGGCCCCTGCCGAGCAGACGACCTCTCCGTCGCGTCGGCCGCGGACTGTGATCTGTGAAACCCCCTCTTTGCAGCGTCAGGCGGCGACAGACGTAGCCGCTTGTTCTGTCCCGCATCTTGCCTAATCTGGCTGCTGTGCCCCAGGTCGCCCGTCGTGTCGAAGTCGTCGGAAAGAAAGTGGAGGTCCAGCTGGACGGCGCTGCTGCGGCGCTTCGGATGCGGAAGCTGCTGGGACCCTGAAGGCCTATCGCGGTTCGGGCCAGAGACGGGCGAGCTGCTGGTGAGGTCGAGGAGGCCGGACGGCTGCTTGGGCGGAGGAGAGCATGATTTGGCGGGGTGGGGGGCGGCGGCTGGTGCAGGTGGGAGGGCTGGCTCGGGGGAGGAGCTCGAAAGGAGGCTGATCACCTCCCCGGTCATGATTGCAGAGTACGCAGATGTATCATATAGAGGAGTTACATTCGGGAGATCGATGGGTGAGGGGTCCTTTGGCGGTACCCAGCGACGCGAATGGTGACGCCTTGGGTTCTGAGCTTAGGGAATTGTGGAGATCGCGCTTGAGACGCGAGATCAGGATCGAACATGGCGCGGATGAGACGCATAGTCACGTGACGATAAGACGAGGCCCGTTCCCCACCTTGCTGTCATTGGTACCAGTGGTAGGCATGAACAAAGTTCAACCATTTGTATCCCATGAGACGGCCAAGTCGTGCTATGCAGACATGCAAGGCCAAGAAAACTGTTTCATCGTCTGAAGAGCACGAACCCATTGACAGCGGCTGGCTTACCGTCCCGACTCTTCCGATGCTGCCAACAAAGAAAGCCCCTGCCGGCTCAAATTGAAAACCTGGGCCCTCAACCGAAATCACAGTACCTTGGTAAGATGGCAAACGAGAAAGGGGGCCGACCGCCTCGGGCCATCAGTATACATATACATACGTGGCACGGCCCCCCCTCCTTTTTGAGCACAACCCCATCCTCGTAGGCGGAACTGCTTGGCAGGCCGGGGCATCCTTCACGTGGATCATCCTTATCGAAACATGCGGCCAATCGAAGGTCCTCACCGCCAGTCCACTCTGAGGAGTCGTAGAAACATTTCCCATCGCGAGCGGCGGGAGAGCGCCGTCCCATCAGTACATGGTACAGGACCTGCTGCATGGTGGTGCGAGGTGTTGTCCCCTTCGAGAACACGATCCCGTTCACGAGAGGAGAATTGCGGATTAGCGTCGCGCACGGGCTCATCTATTGCATGCGATGGCAGACACAAGGCGGGGGGATGGCGTGTTCAGGGTCGTCCTCTCTAGCCACTGCTGCTGATGCAAGCAAGCGGCGTGCTGTTCAATGCTTATGGGCAGGCCTCTACTCTGGCTGGCAAACGACGTGGGTCACATATTGTCCAGCATCGCGGCATATTAGCTGCTCGGAAGTAACAGTCTTCAAGTGTGTCATCGAGCGTTCCCCCGCGTGCTGGACCGTCAACATGCTGCGCGGAAGCTTCCGGGTAAGCAGCCTGCAGTGTAACACGTTTTTCTGCCCCTAGCCGAATGTGTGAGTTTTACTGGATCGTCTCGCCTGTTCATGACGACGACAAGCGAGCAGTACTTGTAGCTTGTCTGGCTGTCGTCACATCCTGGTTGATGGAGAAAGGAGGGAAGGGGAAACAGACGGGCTGGGTGAACATGAGGACGATATATGGGCTTCTGTGTCACCGAACGGGTTCTGCAACGAGGCAAACGCATTTTTTGTCGCCGAGTCCTCGTGTGGACGACCAGCAAGTGCCACGCAGGGCTGAGACAAAACCACTCGTCTGGTAATTGCGCCCCTCGCCATCTCGTGTTGTGCCGCAGATGGAATGCAGATGACAGACAGCCAGCTGAGTCTGGTCTCGGCTGTACTACACAGATGCGATGAAATGACAAAGAGAGCGGGGTTGTAGGTCTCGATGCTGCAGGAGAAGTGGGAGCTAGAAAATGAGGGTCGCAATGTTCGTGGGACTGCCCTCGGCCGTCAGTGGTAACGCCTTTCTCCAGACATAGTTCCTGCCTTTGTCGCCGGCTACGGAGACACTGCTGGGGAAACCATGACGTTCCGCATCCTCGGCGGTCTCACCTTTGTATGGCACTTCGCAATTTCGCGGGTCACCGAAGAACCCCGAGTGGTGGTTTCATGGTTGCGGCGGCTAGAATAAGAGTATCCGTTCTCGATGCATGTGGCTTCAGCATTGAAGTCTGTCGAGTCTTTTGACTATGAATGACAGAAAACCTTCTGAATCATAGCCGACCAACAAAGGCTGTTACGTTGTTGGAAGACGAAACGCGTAAAGCTTTGGTCCAGACAACGGCCGCAGGAGCCGCATGATTTCCTGAGCTCCCCATGTCGGTTCTCTGGTCGGGATGGCAAGCGGCCGGGAAACGCTCACGCTCTTAGTGGGCAGCCTTCTCGTCTCGCGGTCGCCTCGAAAGGGGACCCCGGCCTTGCGCTTGAAATCCCAACTGGGGTCTTCAAGGTCGATCCTCGTTACGCTCGCTCGTCGGTCCAACGTCTCGCAACGTACCTGCGCGGCGGGACATGGGGAAGACTGCACGAGACACGTAGCACCGAGCACTCTGTGAGACAGTATATTGCTTCTTGTGTCCACAGAGAAGAGTCAACCCCCTTTCTTCGAACTCTGCACATTTTGGCTCCACATCTCGCCTTTTCACAGCGATGCGCCCCCTCAGCAGGCGCTTGCTACGCTGGACGCCATCGCCAAGGTGCATTCGCGGCATATGCAGGAGGCGCTATTCAACGGCTCAACGGTGGACGCGGAATGCAGACACCAAATACGCTTCTCCTCGCGAGCAGCTGCAGCACTCGCGACGGGAGTCTTGTCCTTTGCATACAAGGCGACGCTTGATTGGGTCGATCTGAAGGGTGTCCGTCGCCTGCGGAGTGGAGTGAGTGTGTGGGTTGGTGTCTGCGTGTGGTGTGGTGTGGTGTGGTGTGGTCCGGTGTGGTGCGCCCCCCGGCATCACACTCAGGGGCGCTCGTGTGGTCTGCCCCTGAAATGAAGAACTCTTTTCCATTTCTCTTTGTGTTCAGAGAGACAGGTCGTGGGTCCTTTCCCCTCCCTTTCCAGCAGACGCGGCACGCTGTGGTATTTCTGGGAGGGCGCAATGCGACATAGCTTAAGTCATGAACATGGAGATCGCTGGCCGTCGCTGCTGGCCTCGGTATAGTGCGACTCTGCCCAGGCCCTTTTGTTCTTCTCCGACCGTTCTTCTGCAGAGGCACCGTCGGTGCTAGCTGGCGAGGTAGATCGGACGGACGCCGTGGCGAGCTGCGTGCCAATGAATGCTGACAGGAGAGAGATGAGATGGGATGAATAGCGGACATGGGGAGGGGACTTCTGGAGACAACCGGTGCGGTGAACGCTGGCACCCAGAGCCATGTACCAGCAGGTGCCGGGCATGGAGGCTGGGTTGTTTCCATGATGGCGGGTGTGCTTCCCCGAATGGTCAGTCGTGCTCGCACTATCCGATGGCACTGGCGCACGCTGGCAGTTGCACCTGGACCCTGCTGCACGCGGACTTGCTGGGATTGCTAGGATTGCTGGGATTGTACTGGGATTGTACTGGGATCACTGGGATTGCGCTCGGCAGGCTAGTGCGCGGCAGGGCGTTCCCTTCCTCATGCAGCGGCACAAGACCCAGTCGGCGAGAGAGGGACTGAAGCTAAGAGGCGGCTACAGGTGTTGCTCCTGCCAGCTGCAGGTCTTGCTCCTCCTGCCAGCACTGCGAAACCCCAAGATGAACGGCAGGATGGAAGGGCGTCCCTTGCGCCTTCCCTTTCTCGTCGCCCAGGCCACCACACTTGAACACCAGGTACCAGGCAGACCGCCCAAAGGAGCCAGCTGCACCTGGTCCTCACGTATCGTTTCGGTGACAGTGAAGTAGCAACCTCGTCTGCTTGTTCTTCCATCCACCGGCCCCTCCTCTTTTGGGATAACGAGGCCAATATTGTACCATCTGTCAACTGACAGCTTCGTCCGTCTCCTCCTCCAATCTCCCGCAGCGCCGGTCCGGTGAAGCATCGTTCGGGGAGGACCCAGTCACTCAGCAGCTCCTACGCCCGTGATCTCAACTATCAACGACCGTGCGACACCAAAACAGAGCAAATCACTGATCACGCCGTTTGAGAAGCGACGAAACGGGGCGAAGCCAGGGCCCCCGAGTCCAGCAGACACTGGCCAGAGAACAGGCACCGAGCAGGGCCCCGAACAGGCTCATCACCAGCCTCCAACCTTTGCGCAGGGGGCATCCTCCAATCAGCTACCCTCCGCAACGCGCATCCAATTTGCCAGACCCTAGTCAATGAGCACCACCACCCACCCAAATAAACACAGGTTTGTGTCCGCCCAGTCCGCTCTCCATCTCATCCACCAACCTGTCTGGCTGGTCCTGTCCTGTGCTTCTGTCAGGCTTGTCAGTAGCCTGTCCGAACCCGAACTGGATTTCGAATCCCCTATTTCGCCCCTCCCACCCCCCCAAAGGAGCAACGCTTTCGCTACCTACCAACTGGCACCCGCCCGAGCCCGCGACCCGCGACTTGATCTCTCATCTCCCATTCCCCTACCCTCTCACACAACACACACAACACACCCTGGGGGTTCTCAATGCCGCCCGTCATTGTGTCGCCCAGTCTTTCGCGTTTGTGAAGACGAGCACCAGCATCAGCACGAGCACCAGCACGAGTTCCAAAGCTGTGCCGTCCACTCCCTCGAGGCACCGGCAGCCGGCACAGGCACACAAAAAAAAAACACCCTGCCCGCGGGGCTCGCGAGACATAAACACCCCCCAATCCATCCGCCCCGAGACACTCGCATAACCCGACCTCCAATCCTGCGAGTGACACACCGTACTCGCACGCCTGCTCTCGCCTGGCCTCGCGTGCCGACCCATACAAGAGTGCAGAGGCAGCACCCCTCGCCTCGCCACAGCTTCTCGCCATGGCCACTTCACCGCCCGCTTCACCTGGGAATCTTCCCCAGCGACCCATGAGCGCCATGGTGCGACCCGCTCCACGCAGCAACAGCCGTATGAGCATGAGTAGCAAAGCCGGCGGCGGACCAGGAGGTGGTGGCGGCGGAGGAAGCAGAGCGTCAGACGAGGATGGCCGCACAGCTGTGCGCGTGGGTAAGTCAAGCCTTCCTTTTTCTTCCCAACCCGGTCCTGCCTTTTGCCTCCTTTTTGCTGCTGCAGTAGTGGAACATTCTCTGACCAACGCATCCTGCAGCCGTTCGAGTTCGCCCGCCCCTGAAGCCCACCGACCCGGGCTTCGAGCTCATTCCCCAACGCTTCCAACGCTCCATGGTCCAGGTGACATCGGACACAAACGTCGCCATCGATTCCCCCCAGGGCAAGAAACTCTTCGTGTTCGACCGCGTCTTCGGCTCCGACACGAGCCAAGAGGGTGTCTGGGACTACCTGACCGACTGTGTCAATGCCTTTGTCCAAGGCTACAACGTCTCGCTGTTAGCCTACGGCCAGTCTGGTGCTGGCAAGTCCTACACTATGGGAACGTCGGGACCTTTGGAGCAGAGCGACCCCGAAGTCATGGGCGTCATCCCTCGAGCTGCGACAGCTCTTTTCGACAAGCTCGAGGGCCCAAGAAAACAGGCGAATCGAGGATCCATGTCACAACTCCGAACGCCACATCGATATTCTGCGCAAGGCGCTTCTGGCGGCGCAGACAAGAATTGGCAATTAAAGGCCACATACGTCGAGATTTACAACGAGCAACTCCGCGATTTGCTCATCCCCGATCACGTCCCGCAACACGAACGAGTCAACGTTACGATCCGTGAGGACGTCAAGGGAAACATCCTCCTGACAGGCCTGCGCCAGGTGGACATCAACTCCGTCGAAGACCTGATGGCTGCCTTGAACTTTGGCTCCACCTTGCGCCAGACGGACGCAACAGCTATCAACGCCAGGTCCTCGCGATCCCCACGCAGTTTTCAGTCTGAACCTGGTGCAGCGCAAGGGGGGCCTACATAACCCACAGGGCGCTGACAAGCGTTTCTCCATGCCAGTTGAAGCCATGACTGGCAATGAGAGCTGGGTGACGACCGACAGCAAGCTGCACTTTGTTGACCTGGCGGGCAGTGAGCGGTTGAAGAATACCGGCGCTCAAGGTGAGCGTGCCAAGGAAGGCATCTCCATCAACGGCGGACTAGCCGCGCTCGGCAAGGTCATCTCGCAGCTTTCGTCGCGGAACGCCGGATCGCACGTCTCGTACCGCGATTCGAGACTGACCCGGTTGCTTCAAGATTCTCTTGGGGGGAATGCTGTGACGTACATGATTGCCTGCGTCACCCCGGCCGAATTTCACCTCAGCGAGACGCTAAACACAGTCCAGTACGCGCAGAGGGCCCGAGCCATCCAGAGCAAACCACGCATCCAACAGGTGGAGGAGGGCGACAAGCAGGCCATCATTGACAGGCTCAAGGCAGAGGTCACCTTCCTGCGCGACCAAATCCGCAATGCTGAGCGGGGTGGCGGCGACCGGCGCACACCCGCTACTGAAGGTGGGAGGTCCGAGCGGCAGAATGAGCGGGAGACGGAACTCCAGAACCAATTGCTGGACGTCCAAGAGACCTACACTACCTTGAGTCAGCGACACGCGAAGCTTATCGCTGAGATGGCCAAGGCTAGGGACGCTGAGCAGGCGGACAATGAGGAGAATGACGACGCGCTTGGGGACAGTGCCACGGAACGCCTGAATCGCTCCAACTCCTTCGCCCAAGCTGTCGAGCAGGTTGTACTCGAGTACGAAAAGACAATCCAATCCCTCGAGCAATCACTGTCTAGTACCCGCGGCACCCTGTCGAGCACGGAGACGAATTTGTTGGAAAAGGAGACCAAGTGCGCTTACGTCGAGACGATCAACACCCAGCTCCAGGCCCGGCTCCAGAAGCTGATGGATCGAGAGGCCAGCACCGAAAACTATCTGCACGACCTGGAGGCCAAACTTGACGGCCACACCTCGGGCGAGGAGAAGAACGCAACGATCATCACCGAGCTGCGAAAGGAAATCTCGCGCGTCCGGGAGAATGAAGCCTCCTGCGAAGACTACATCTCAACGTTGGAGGAGCGCCTGGCCGAGGCGGACCAAGATGCGGAGCTGATGCAACGTGAGATCGATCGCCTGGAACAGGTCATCGAGCGCCAGCGAAGCCTAGGAAAGCTCGATTCTCTTCTGTATGAGCTAGATCACATCCAGAGCGATAGCAAGGTGCCCGAGCCTCAGGCAGAAACTGCGAACGGTGTCGGACATCGTCGCCAGTTCACTGATCACTCACGGAGCCAATCCCACGTTAGTCGTGTCAGCCACCAAGACGCCATCCCCGAGATCGAAGAGGAGGAGGGCCAGGTTGACGACAACGTTGACGCCAAGACGATCAGGAATGCCAAGGACGTCTCCGAAGAGGAAACATCTCGTGCTGAGCACGACGGCCTCAAAGCGGAGTATGACGACTACTCACCACCCAGCCCTGCTCAGACCAAGTTTGTGGCGGACAAGCTTGAAAATGTAACACAAGAGCTCTTTGATCTTCGCGTGGAACATGAAAGCACCGTCAACGACTACAGTCTTCTACACTCTCGCTACGAGGAGGCTCTCCGCGCTCTCAGGGAGCTGCAGGATACTGTCGACGAATCACGACACCCCCACCGCAATGTCCGCGACTCAGTTCTGTCGGTTGTGTCACCAACGGAGACCAGACCATCATCCTTCACGTCCGATGCGCGATCCAACGACCACAAAGAGCACAGGCAGTACGCATCTTCGCGCTCTCTGTCCTCAGAGCTTTCCTCGGCCATGGATTCCCCGACAACAGTCGATACCTCTGATCTCGACGCTGAGACGGCCACTCTGAAGCCCCAGTCCGAATTCCTGCCGGATACTGAGACAGAGCCGGTGCCGGAAAGGTCCGATATCCAGGTCGAGGACCATGCCGAGACGACGAGCATCAAGAGCGACATCGAACCAAAGATGACTGCTACCGACTCCACACAACAGGATCTTCTGAATACAGAACTGGCCCGGCTGAAGTCCTTGTCTGCGGAGAAGGAGGCTGCAGAGAAGGAGTTGGCTGACAAGTACGCGCAACTTGAGCAGAAACATCAAGATGCTCTAGACATGGTCGAGGAGCTCAAGACAGAAGTCGCCCAGGCCAAGGCTGCCGAGGCTACCTCCCCGAGGGCCAGCCATCCCGTCATTCGCCGCAAGTCGAGCCAGAACGTCATGATCATCGATCGCGCCCACCGCTCATTCGCCTCGCTCCGAAACATTGCAACAGAAAACTTTGAATCCCAGCCGGATGTCATGCAGAACTTTGAGCTGAACCTCAACTCTGCCATGCACGAATTGCATGCTCGGTCAGAGAGGATTCAAGAGCTGGAAGCTGGGGTTACCGCGGCAAAGAGGGAGATGGAGACTAAGATGACCATCATCTCCGGCCTGACGCGAGAGCGGTCCAGTTTGAAGGCCTCGCCCATGGACATGTCTGTTGTGTCCACGCTCAAAAATCAGTTGGAGAGGAACGAATCGCAGATGAAGGAGATGAGGGAGGCGCACAGTGCTAGCGAGAGGGAGCTGCATGCCGAAATTGAAGCACTTCGCGCCGCTGTCAAAGACGCTCCTGCGACATCAGCTCCGACTGTCTCTGAAGCCTCGGAGGCCGAGACAACCCTAGAAGCCGCAGAAGACGACACTGAGAGAGACTCGTCCCAACAGCAACACCTCTCTACGGACAATGAGCGCAAGCTCAAGAGCCTCCAGCTAGAGCTGAGCAACTGGGAGACGAAGCACAAGACTGCCTTGGATGCGATGCAACAGACTGAAGCACAGATGAAGAAGACGATTGAAGATTTGGAGAGCCAAATCGCGACCATCAATTCCAAGGCTACCGCACGAACGGATGCAGCGAGTGACGACGAAACGCTGGAGGCAGACGAAAAGCACCAAAGCATGCTCAAGAGTCTTCGTGACGAGGTTGACGAGTACAAGTCGATCATCAGCACCAATGCCATCAAGGTCGCAGATCTTGAGACGGCCCATTCAGCTACCAAGGTCGAGCTGGAAGAGGCCATCAAGACGCGTGATCTGCACGAGAGTCAGTCAAACACCCACAAGCAGCTCATGGAAAACCTCGAGAAGCAGATTGCCGCGCACGAGCAAGCATTGAAGACCCACCAAGATGGCATGCAGCTTCTCAAGGACAACCATGCCAGAGATCTCGAGGAATTGAAGCAGGTCGAGCAGAAGGGCTACGAGGAGCAGGTGGCTGTGCTTATGAGCGAGCAAGCGGAGAACATCCGGGTTCTGGAGTGCGAGCTTGACGACGCCCGTGAGGATCTCATGAAGGTTGCCACCCAAGTCGCGTTTGCTCTTGGCCTTGACGTCAGTGTCGAGAAGATCACAGAACGCATCGACGATCTAATTGCTGATCAAAAGGCGCTTGTGGAGGAGCAAAAGAAGACGGGAGACTTGGAGCGAAAAGTTTCCGAATTGACAGCCATCAACGAAAGCGCCGTGCGCGATCTGGAGCAAGTCAAGGCAACATTGTCTGATCTTCTCACTGCGAAGGGTGAGACTATGAGCATCCAGGGCTCTGTTACCGAGCAGATGTCTGCCCTGCGTAAGAAGATGACCGACCTTGACTCGAGGAACAACAAGAACTCGCGTCTTGTCGAGGAGCTGGAAGACCAACTTCAGTCCAACTTTGATCAGGCTCAGATCACCAACAACCGCCTCTCAGTCTTGCAAACCGAACGTCAAGCCCAGCTTGAGGAAGCCACGGCCGCAAAGACCAGGATCGAATCAGAGATGGACCGTCTCCGCGCCGAATACCATGCTCTCCAGGTGAGACTGATTTCATGATGCACACGAAGAAAGAAACCATGCTGACAAGTGCTGTAGAACAAATACGATGAGGTTGCCACGGCCTCCGGCCAGCAACCCCAGAGGGCCAATTCCCTCACGAACAGCAACCTCCGCAAGAGTGCTTCCGTCGCATCTCTGCCATCTCCACCTCCAGCAATCCCTCTCCCTCCTCTGCCCGGTTCCAACGCCCAAACCAGCCCGACAGTGCCCAACACGCCGACTGGTGGACGCCCAGGCAGCAAGGACCACATGGGATCTCTCAACCAGATCCAACAAGATCAAGAGGCTCGCATCCAGACGATCGAGAAGCACCTCGACGCCGAGAAGCAGCTCACCCAGACGCTCGAGGAAGCTCTTACCGACCTCGAGAAGCAGTCGAACAAGGTCAAGGCGGACTGCGATGCCTGGCGCAAGCGGTGCCAGCAGCTTGAGGGCGAGCTCAAGGAGCTCAAGGACCGTCCCGCTCCTACGCCGCAGCCCGACAACCGGTGGAGCTTGCAGGCGGTTGAGGAGGAGCGCAAGAAGCGACAAGCGGCCGAGGCAGCGCGTGCGCACCTCGAGGACCGCATGAACGCGATCAACAAGCAAAAGAAGAAGAAGGGCTCGCTCAACTGCTTCTAGGCGCGTGGTTGTGGATGCTAGTTGGGGGGGTATGCCGTGGGGACGAGACGTGGCACCGCGACTCTTGGTCTCCCTTCTGATGGGGAGGAAGTTGTTTCTGACGCCCCGTTCATGACCTTGTCTTTTTGATATCCCATATGTTTGGAGTTTCCTGTTTGGTCCTTTCACGCCAAATTCCCCTTCCCGCGTACCAGTCCCCCGTCACGACGTGGTGCTTGTACACATCTGTACATTTCCCCCTCTGGCTCGAAGCCGCGAATGAGCCTGTCTGCCGAGGTGCGGGTTGGAGTTATGATCTTCGGAGGATGGACTGCTTTTATTCGTTTACCCCTTCTCGACGATGTTCTTTTCAAATGACTTGGCAGCCGTCTTAATTTCACGATTCTCCGTTCAGCGCTGGTCCCCGTACTTAGCAGCGGGTGGGGGTTCATCATAGCAACAACGACGGCAACGAGAAA